GGAGGAGTTGACTACCCTAAGGACGATCCCGGCGAGCCGATGGTGATCACTGTTCTTGGGAATAACTACCAAGTGGATGTCCAGTATCATCGGCTGCAAAACATCACGTACGTCTTGTTAGACGCGCCTGTGTTCCGAGCTCAGTCTAGATCAGAGCCGTACCCTGCCCGCATGGATGACCTGGATTCAGCAATATTCTATTCTACTTGGAATCAATGTATTGCTGAAGCTATCAGGAGATTTCCGGCTATCGACATCTATCATATCAACGATTACCATGGTGCCGCTGCCCCTCTCTATCTTCTACCTCGCACGATTCCATGCTGCCTGTCTCTACACAATGCTGAATTCCAAGGACTCTGGCCAATGCAAACTCCACATCAAAGTCAAGAGGTTTGCAGTGTCTATAACCTTGACCATGCATTAGTGAAGAAGTATATACAATTCGGCGAGGTGTTTAACCTTCTTCATGGAGCTGCCAACTATCTGAAAATCTACCAAAACGGATTCGGCGCTGTCGGTGTCTCCAAGAAATATGGGAAGAGATCGTACGCGAGATATCCTATTTTCTGGGGTCTTAAGAACATTGGAGCGCTACCCAATCCTGATCCATCTGACATCGCCGAGTGGAATCACAAGGCAAACAACAATCTCCAAGAAGTCATCATTGATACAGAGTTTGAAGCCAGTCGTGCCACGCTTATGAGACAGGCGCAAGAATGGGCAGGACTCAAAGTTGACCCAGAGGCCCAACTGTTTGTTTTTGTCGGCCGGTGGTCCATGCAAAAAGGCGTTGATCTGATTGCAGACATATTCCCCTCCATTCTAGATGCTCACCCAAAGGTCCAGTTGATGTGCATTGGACCAGTCATTGATCTCTACGGAAGGTTTGCCGCGTTGAAACTGAATCGACTCGTAGAACTTTACCCTGGGCGGGTGTATTCTAAACCAGAGTTCACTTCACTACCGCCATTCATTTTCAGTGGCGCTGAATTCGCCTTAATCCCTTCGCGTGATGAACCGTTTGGTCTGGTGGCCGTGGAATTCGGACGGAAAGGAGCGTTGGGCGTGGGATCACGGTAAGTCTGACCTGGCTTAAATCTATCACCTGTACTAATCTATGTTTCTTTAGTGTCGGTGGCCTTGGTCAGATGCCAGGATGGTGGTACACAATGTGAGTTTCCTTCTCTCTCGATATGTTCACACTAACCCATTCTAGCGAGTCTATGACAACCAAACATCTTATGCAACAGTTCAAGGTGGCCGTCAACGACGCTCTGAAATCGTCCCAGGAGACACGAGCACTCATGCGTGCACGATCCGGCAAACAACGCTTCCCGGTAGCACAATGGGTTGAGGATCTGGAAATCCTACAAACTACCTCAGTCGAAAACCACGCCAAGTACTCCAAACGCCACGATCGCAGTTCATGGCGGATTTCCCGTGGCAGCACCCTGGTCCCAGAAAATATTCGCAATGTCTCGTCGAGCTCAAACAACAGCCGCGAACAAAGCCGGTCACGCAGCTCCACTGCATCTGTTCCCTCGAGCAGCCCTACTACGGCTGATGTGAGACCGTCTGGACCTCGATCAGGACATGACCACGTTTTCTCGCCGACAAATATGTCTTCCAGCCTCAACATATCCGACAACGAGCCCGATCCTGACACCGACCCAAGACACAGACCCTTGCCCTCCAACCCTCCCGCAGACTCGCGAATCGTTTACTCTACGGTGAGCGATGGAGAAGATCTGGAGCCTATTTCCGGGCCCGCACAAGAGGATGCATCTCTTCGTCTATCGCCATTTGGGACACCCAGTGCTTATTTTGCTCGATCCGGCGCCAGTACGCCAGTTCCCAGTGCGGGATCAGAAGACGGTGTGCTGGGCCGAAAAGATCATAGGGCGTCCATGATGAGTCTGGTCAGTGTCGATGATATAACAAAGGAGAAACAACACTACAACCTCCAGAAAGTCGATCCATTTTTCACGGATGCGAATAATGAGTATGCGAATAGGTTTGAGAAGAAGCTTGTGGACTTGAATGGCAAAAACTCCGAAGACCAGCTCTGCATCGAGGAGTTTCTCGAGAAGAGTGAAAAAGACTGGTTCAATCGATACCGCGACGTCAAACTGGGCAAGTCCCCCTTGCCGTCTCCTGCTTCATCTGTCTTTCGCTTCAAGGTTCATGACACTGGTCGATCAGAGACCCCGCCAATTACTGGTCCAGGTGCAGGTCCGAATACCGGGCAATTCCTTCTGCCGAATGACTATGTTCCCCCCACTGGTTTGAAGCGTTTCATGTTGATGAAGCTGGGTGATTGGCCTGTGTACTCAATCTTCCTCGCTATTGTGAGTTGGAACCCTACCAGAACTTTTCATTGCACCTGTTAACAGCATTCTGTTAGGGCCAAATCCTCGCCTTGAACTCGTACCAAATCACACTCCTTAACGGTGAAGTTGGACAGACGGCCGAAAAGCTATACATTCTGGCATCCATCTATCTTGCCTCTTCGATCATATGGTGGATGGTCTTCCGTCTAGCTCCATCAATCTACGTGTTAACGATTCCTTTCTTTGTACGTTCACATTCTTCTATCTAGCTTAAGAGGTTGCAAACTAACTACCCGCAGATATACGGGGTTGCCTTTCTGTTTGTCGGCCTTGCCGGTCCCATCCACAACAGCACAAGTCAAACATGGTTACAAAACGTGGGAACCGGCTTGTATTCGTTTGCATCTTCGAGCGGTTCGATTTTCTTCGCCCTCAACTTTGGAGATGAAGGTATGCAATAACCCTTTTAGGAAGTATGGAACTTGTCTGACTTTCCTTTCCAGGTGGAGCACCTCTGAGATCCTGGATTTATAGAGCCACAGTCATCCAGGGGACCCAGCAGTTGTTCATTAGTTTCCTTTGGTACTGGGGTAGCTGGATGGCAACGCTCAATCAAAAGGGTAGCACGCAATTCAGCCTTGCCATGACCGATCCAGGCGTTTTGCTCGGGATCGGACTCGGACTCGCCTGTCTTCTATGGGTGTTGGGAGCCCTGGTATTCTTTGGACTTCCTCCATATTATAGACAAGCGCCAGGTCAAGTGCCGACATTCTACCTATCGCTCTTCCGCCGTCGCATCATTCTTGTATGTCTCTTCCAATCCTCCCTCGAGCTGATCTTGATTCTGACACTGTATTTTGTAGTGGTTTTTCTACATGGTGTTCATATCGAACTACTGGCTATCGGCACCTTACGGACGAAACTGGCTCTATCTCTGGTCCAGTAAACACGCACAGGTGTGGCAAATCGTCCTCCTTGTCCTTTTCTTTTTCGTCGTTGTCTGGGCGGCAGCTCTTTGGGTCTTTCACGTCTTTTCCAAGAGACACGTCTGGTTCATCCCGATCTTCGCCGTTGGACTTGGTGCTCCTCGATGGGCCCAGATCCTGTGGGCAACCTCCAATATAGCCACGTACATCCCCTGGGCCGGTGGTCCCGTCGCTGGGGCTATCCTTGGTAGAGCACTATGGCTCTGGCTAGGAGTTTTGGATTCCCTTCAGGGTGTCGGTAAGTTTGCTCCTTCGGCGAATAAAAGGTGACCCAAGCTGATTCACCCCACTACAGGTTTTGGAATGATCCTCCTCCACACAATGACTCGATTCCATGTCACCTTCACACTTCTAGCCGCGCAGGTGGTCGGTTCCATCGGCACTATCCTCGCCCGCGCGACAGCACCGGATAAATTAGGCCCTGGTGATGTATTCCCCGATTTCTCCGCTGGCGTCACAGCCGGCTTGGGAAAGGCAGACTTCTGGGTCTGCCTGCTCTTCATGCTATCCATCAATGTGCTCTGCGTCTTCTTCTTTCGCAAGGAACAACTCGCGAAACCTTGAACTTTGCTCCAGCCTTGAATGGCGTTTTCTCTTTCTGTTTTGCATCCACTTTATATATTGTGCGGGGTAGGTATTATGACTAGAGCATTAATTATACTATAACTAGTGGGTTTCGTTTGCCGAGATGTGATAGACTTTGTAAAGGTCGCCCCCGGCCCCATGTTTTGTATATGTATATAGTGTATCAAAAGACTACATACTGGTTTACTGGTTCTACAGGTGTTGAAACTTAATGTTAATCTTCATGTGCCCCCATAAAACCCCATATAGGCACTGATAAAGGGGACTCTGGAATTGCTGTATTACAATCTTCTTCCGGTCGCATGAAGTTCAAATTTTATATTTAGAATAAAGGGAATACTATAAGTAACGCATATTAATTTCAAATGGAATCCGATCTACAAGGGTTGAGATATAACCGAAAAGGTGAATATTAATGTTTTTATGTTGGATATATATCTAGGTTTCTGTAGGAAGCATTACCACTTCCTAGTTAACTTCTATAATTTGAGGAATTTCCTAATTAACGCGTTTTCTCCTATCTTTTTACGTGATATTGAGAGAATACTAGTAACTGATTCTAAATCATCAAATTTAATAGAAGATTACCTTATAGATCAGGGTAAGAAACGGACGTAAAACAAAGGTAATTTAATTAATCCCAAAAGAGAGGTTCAACATGTCTTGGCACCCAAATTCTCGGCATGTTTGTATTGTTTGTATTGTTTGGGGCGGGCCCAAAATTTGCGGGGTTGGGTTGGCCTGGGCTCTGCGGAGGTCTCAGTCCACGCTTCTAGGAAATTGAACTAGCACAAGCGGTCAATACATAGTCTCTAATTAAAAAAAAAAAAAAAAAAAACTTATACTTGTTCTAGGAACCCGAAGGATCATTCATGGACATACCGGTTGGGTGGGATCGACCTGCGGTCCCCCTCCCCAATGAACGACCTATGTCTTCTACTGAAAATGCGTCGAAAGAATAACCAAACCAAACAAAGGAATCCCCATACTAAAGGGGTTTGCGTCTAGTGTAGAATATTGTAATGACAAAAGTGTAAACCAAATTATTTAAACACACGAATTGAGGTCTTTTCACAAAGTCCTACAGCAATCCAAGTCACAACGATTCAACACTATCGAGTCCAAGTACCCTCCTCCAATCCATGTATGTATACAAAATAGCAAAAGCGAGGACATACAAGGTAGCTTGAGGCACCCACCTCCAATTTGAGTGTTTGGTCCGATACCTCTCCCATCCGCCTCCACTGCGCATTGGGGGAGGTAGGAAATCACACAACACCCCATCGGCAATAGACTTAGATCCGATATACGCTGGCAAGTCACCTGCATATGGTATGTAGTATCGACCAAAGAGAGTCTTCAGTAGGCCATCTCGGGCGTGTAGGCGGACCAGAAAGCGGGAGCTTTTATAAACTGAGTTGACACGGCCATGGCGAATACTGCGATATTGATGCAGAAGAGTCTGCACCTGTCCATCTGTGGGAGGCCAGGTGCTCCGACCCTTCCTTAAGCTTTGAAGTAAATTTGCCAGAGCTGCGGCGTCCTCTATGGCCATGTTGGCGCCTTGTCCAATATTTGGGGTCATCTTATGAGCACTATCACCCAGAAGAACTAGCCGGTCATGGTACCAGGTCTCAAAGGTATTTTCCTCCAAGACCGTCATGGAGACTGTTTCCCGAGTCTCCCATAGATGCCCGAAATTAAGATCTTTGTAGAATACTATACTTCTCAGTTCCTCTGCCGCGATTTCAATGTCACTTGTCATGTAGCGTGGGCAGTCCGGATAAGTGTATTTCTTGTCCAACTTCTGTACGACGAACCAATACACACGACCATTTTTTCCGTGGATTGTAATGATGGTAAGGCCGTCAAATAGCGCGTTTACTTGCTCCCCTGGGACCAATTCATTGATGGGGGAGGAGATGCCGAAGATACAGCGAAACTCCGCCGTGAGACCTGTGTGGCGTTTAGTCCCATGAGAAGTAGAGAATGCTGCTTATGTCCACTTACTAGATCTCTCAGTTGCCACTCCGGAGCTGGTTCTCTCGAGGGTGTTCCAGATTTCCTGTCGAACTTTGCTGTGGACGCCATCTGCACCAACGATGAGATGGCCTCGGTAGGCAGATCCCTTGGACGTTCTCACTATAACTGCATTACCGCAACTTTCGATCTTGGTCACTCTTTCCCCCAGGCGAATGCTTCGACGATCTGGGTAGTTTTCATAGAGTATTTCAAGCATCTTCTGTCGGTCTAAGAAGGCGATCGGATACCCGAACCTGTGCAGTGCCATTAGAACTATTAAATACTATCGCCAGAAGAACTAAATGGAGTAGGACCAACCTTTCACTTATCACTTGAGGAAAAGACCCCTTGAAGCTGTAACCGTCGGGATAGCGGATGGTTGCGGTAGTCAAGGGCTCAATGTGTTCCTCAACCAGCTCGTACAGTTGGAGTTGATCAAGGACGCGAGCTCCGTTTGGGGAAATACCGATGGATGCCCCAATTTGGGGTGCTGGGTTGCTGGCTTTTTCGAGGACAACATGGTCAATTCCGGCGCGTTGTAGGCAATGCGCGAAGGTCAGGCCTCCTATTGATCCGCCGACGATGATGACTTTGAACTCGGATTTGCTCATCTTGGAGATTTAGATGGAGGGGTGGCCCGCTCAGACAAACTCCTGGTATGCTATTCACAATATATACTTCTAGTTCTGATATATGTAGAATATAAAGGCCCTTCCATGTGCAGTCTCCAGACCGATTAGTTTATATTTCCCTCATATCCCTGCCAACGTACATAGATAGGGGACTAGCACTATCCTATCCTCACTAGTTGGGATTTAGAAAGGGGCTACATATATTGATCAATTTATCAGTCTTACTGCAGGGTTATCTACAGGATAGTGCTGTGATATTTCGAGAAATTAAAATAAAAAGAAACCTACTCTTTTCGTAATCTCATTTTCTTCTCGTTTTTTTTTTTTTTCGATATGCTCGCCACCAATGCAGTCCTGTCCCCGTTATCTATACATCATTTGACCTTGTTTGTCCGTCCTGCACGAAGGCTCTCTTCGTACCGCTTAATATGCCAATAACATAGCCCATAAGAGCTATCAAGGATTAGGAAAGCAGCCACACTCCACAGCACGAGGGGACTATTGAGCCATGCAAATGATTCCGGCCAATACATCCAACGCAGAACTGCGAACCCAACCACGCAACACGAGCCCAAGAAGCGAGAAAGCCTAAAATATCTCAGCGTAAGCGTTTGATGCATTTGTCTATGGGAAGGTTCAGGGAATAATATTGCATGGGAAACGGGTCGAAAAGAGGGACCCCATACCATAGAGTGTAGGAAGCACCACGGCTACTTCCACGACAGAGAAGCTGACAGATACCACCAACACTCAGCAAAAGCTGGGCAAAAATTGCACTCCAGGAATACGCCAATGCAGGGCCAATTTCAGCTGCGAGGGCGAGGTGCCCAGTGAGGAAGCCGATGATTCCGATGCCAAAAATCCAATGGAGATTATGCTCGACCAGTGGCGCGTGGCTCCATTCTTGGGGCGAGAAGCTAATTGCAGCATATATAATGCCAAAATTGATGAATAACTCCAAAACGATCAATCCCCGCTCAAGTTGATTTTTGGAGGGATAAATCAGGCCATATACAATCTCCCATGCAAAGTTGCAACAAAGCGGCATGATAGACATTGCATAGGTGCCTTCCTTGAACGACGTGTAGACCATCAAGGCATAATTAGTCACCCAACCAATTGTAACCCCGAGGAGGAATAAATCGGCAAGAGGCATGACAGCCTGATACTCGGGAGGAGCTTGGTGTGCGTCGAATCCGTCCATTATGGTGAAGGTTGGAGAAAAGAAAAAAGAATGAATCAATCGATTTCTGAACAGGAGAGTTTGAAGTGCGGAAACAGGGCTTCTCAAATGCACACTTATTTATGGATTCAATGTTTAGCATAGGAAGAGATACCGCAAGTTACGTTACTTGATGAGCTCGCTCTCTATGCCCTGCAATGCACCAACTGGGTCATTATGCGTGAGTTCCAATTTAATTATACTAAGCTCGTGACCAGGCTGATGTTACCATAAGTAACATAGTAAATGTGAGTTCTCAAATTGCCATCTGCACTAAGCCAAAAAGTTGTCCATGATAGGATTCTTGGTATGCGGTATTCTTTTCATGATTGTTGTTATCTAGTTGAAATAAAGCTACCGCGCCCTCCAGGCATACTAGATTTGATTTTCTGTACTTCAGTAGGACACATTCAGGTACATACTTAAAGACTTGAAATAAAACTATAGTTATGCATCTTAAGGAAAGGGCAATTCCAATGCCGGCGATGCACTGTCATGTTTCATAGAACTTTCAATGCAGATATTAATATGGCCTTACAGAATATAATATTACAGCATATAATAAAAGTTCATTTCGGGCTGACGCGACTCCTGCATGCACACGATACAGGGGAAAGTTAGCCACAGGTACATATGCATCCTTTTCGGAGCCCCGGAAACAAAAGTTCGTAGGTTTCACCCGCTCCGTTTGAAGTCGAGCTGTAGAAATCCCGTAGACTTGTCGGTGACCAAAATATATTGCATGCATAAACGAGATAGTACTGGAGTAAGCGCAGAACACGCGAACTTGGTTGTGGGTCTAGAGGTTCCCTTGTTGCTTCTCTGCACATGAGGACTAGCATCTGATGATCTAGCAGCACAACAATATCACCAGAGGGAATGCTTTAAAAGTATTGATGTTTGAATGTTGATTGTACATTCGTACGCCCTGCTCTGCTCATTACGATTCATATCCCTCTTACATCATGAGCCTCTTCGAAAGTCTTTTCAGAATTTTTGTTCAGGGGGCCAGCCCCATGCTGGGTATGGTTGCTATTAGCGGCTTTCTTTATCTAATTATTGACCATATCCACATCCCTCGATGGTGGGATAAAAAGGCCCATCTGATCGGACGAAAGAATCCCGAGGGAATAACTACACTGGAATGCCCTTATGATTATCTTCGGGAAATATACGGCAAGTATCACTGGGCAGCGTTTGTCCACAAGTTATCCCCGACCCTTCAAAATGATGACCCTCCCAAACACCGGATGGTGTTGGAGATTATGGATGCTATCCACCTTTGCCTGATGTTAGTTGATGATGTGAGTTCCAGAACCCTCTTCTTCCTCTCAATATGAGTTCAGGACAGCGCGTCTGAATGATATGTTCCTAGATCTCCGATGGGAGTGATTACCGCAAAGGACGACCTGCTGCTCACAAAATATACGGCCCCTCAGAGACAGCAAACCGCGCCTACTACAGAGTCACCCAAATTCTGAACAAAACCACCAAAGACTTCCCAAACCTCGCGCCATGGCTCATGCAGGATCTCCAGGATATCCTTGAAGGTCAAGATATATCCCTCGTCTGGCGCAGGGATGGAATTAGTGGTTTCCCTATCGCCACCGCGGACAGAGTCGCAGCATATCGAAGAATGGCTTCTCTCAAAACCGGTTCCTTGTTCCGTTTACTAGGCCACATTGTCTTAGAGAATGATTCTATGGATGAAACTTTAACTAGGGTTGCGTAAGTTGGTCCCTTCCCCAGTTCCCCAGGAATTCATAACGATTCAGGTTTGACGTTTGTATAGCTGGCATTCCCAGCTCCAAAATGACTGCAAGAATGTTTATTCTTCGGAGTATGCAAAGCTGAAGGGCTCTGTGGCCGAAGACTTGCACAACCGTGAGATGACATACCCTATCGTGCTAGCATTAGATGCACCTGACGGTCGTTGGGTGACTGGGGCCTTGGAATCTCCGTCGCCCCGCAATATTCGCAATGCCATGAAGGTCATTCGATGTGACTATGTGCGGAACATATGCATGAATGAACTGGCTCAATCCGGTGCCTCGGTTAAAGAATGGCTGGAATTATGGGGTCGAAAGGAGAAACTGGATTTGAAGGCATGAGGTTACTCCATACGTGTATATTCATGGGCCACATGTATTGCGAGTCTTGTCACGGTATTTCAATTAGGATAATGTGGACGGGATCATCCACCACATGAATACAATACAGTTATTATACGACCTTTGAGTGAGGCGAGAGGAGATCCCTCCGGGTTTATCTGGCATATATCATTATTTGCTTCTGGCGTTTCGCCTTCACATATTTCAATCTTATATATAGACTTAGACAGTAGAAGAAGGTGAAAGAAAAGGCTTAATGTCTAAAATGGAAGTTTCATGTATAACATTCGATTCAAATATAGCGGAATATTAGTTTCTCCCCTCGACGGGCACGCCAACTATTTGTTGCATTCATCAATTCAGGACACCCTCGAACAACCCATTGCCATTTCTTCAGAAATGGCTCGGTCACCTCCCAGTTCCGCACGTCCCAAGGTTCTCCCCAAACTAGCAGTCCTGCATCCATCGTTGACTCACCCCAGAAACCCATGATATCGTGACAGAGTTGCTCGTCATCCCAATCATCCCCCGCTTCAATGAGATTATCGCGCATCTTGGGTAAAGGAAAGAAGTCCAGCCACGGGTGATGGTGTATCGATTTTTGAATTCGAGTAGGCTGCAGGTTGGTCGGAATGAGGCTGTTATTGCCCGGGACAGAGGGACTTTGTGGCAGAGCTGTATTGAACGGTGAAATGGCGTCATGGTCCATCCAGTACTCCGACCAGCCGATTAATCGCAAGTTCTGGGCGAATGCACGGAACACGTTCACTTTCGTTAGCGTCATAAGATGATCGGCGGTCGGGTCTCCTCGCGCGTAACTTTCGAACGCTGACTTGGCGAATCTCTCTAAGATATTTTGTAAATGTTCGGGACTCCGGCAGAAGGTGAGTTTCGGATCATCTTGGGAAGAACGATCTTGTGACTGCACGGTAAAGGTCGAACGAGCGGATGGTACTACATTTAGGCTCTTGGGGTGGATGTCTTTGGTTGATGACAGTCGCTTGCGCTTCCCTAATAAAGATTAGCTCTTACTCAAACAAATTGCAACGAAAGTGACATACGGTAAGCCCTCTGGTTTATGCGGTTTTGTCGCCGACGGCGTTCGGTCGGGTCACTCAATCCAGACCAGTTGTCTGTCACTTGCTCGGAGTCATCAGAGGTAACATCAGGGATGGAGATAAGATGGTCAATTTTGGAGGTTTCGGTCATTCTGACTATCAGCGCTAGAGTGTCGCGCCTTGCTTATATGGGGCAACAGTTTTCAAGGTGCGAGTCCCGCCACCCCCATGTTCAAGGAAGAATCCAATCGGATTGCTTGGCGATCGGAGTTACTGACGGAGTTAAGAGATGATGTTCCCGCAACAAGTGGATGTATTCTTTACAGATACATGAAATGTTGGAAGATATATCAACGTTCTGTGCTTATCACATCTTTGCAAATATATGTAACTCATGAAGAACTAACCCCGCAACATTATGGACTTATCTAAACTCTGCATACGAAAAATCAGCCGGGGCCAGGCATCGCTGACGCTCTCCAAACGCATATAGACCCAGCATCATGCCAGTAAAGTTGGCCCCAACTGGAGGTACTGCCGTAGCAGCACTATTAGAGACTGACCCAATCCAGTGGATGTCAGATTCTATCCCCTCAAGATACCCAAATCGATACTCGCTACCACAGTCAACTATGAGAGTGACAGCAGATTCTGTATCCAATCTACGCTCCACGATATCGCCATTTGATGGTCGAAAACGAATGAAACGGCCCTTGCTATCCTTCCTGATACCGATACTGCTATACGTAAAATAATTTAACCATACCACAGTGCCAGCCTCCGTTTCACCTACCGTCGGCTGAAAGGAGAGGCTTGTCTCCCACCTGCAGACGAGGTGGGTTTGCTTGCGAAGAAGCATGGTTGGACTGGCCGGCACTGAAAGGTTATAAGGTCCACCATGGAGGCGAAGGTAGTTGGGGCGCTCAGTAAGTGAGTAGTCATTTACGAAGGGCGTGTCTATTTTCTTGTCAGGTGGGCTCAGACAGGTTCATGCTTTGGGGCTCACTTTTTCGATACCATCCAACTTGCATTTGCGGTTCCGAAAACTCATCTCTCCAGAAAACCGGAGTATTAAATTTATAAAGACCAGGTCCATGGGAGTCGAGACTGATTTTCTGTCCTCCATTGATCACTGGCCAGTCGTCTTTCCAATCCAAAGGGACTAGAAATGTCTCTCGTCCTAGGAGGGTTAGTATAATAACCGACCAATACTGTGAGTCTCCGTACCTAACACTGAGTCTTCCCACCTATCTCCTTTTCTTGAGGGACGAACACCGAGAACAACTGCCCACCATTGCCCTTTGGTGTCCTCAACCAGATCGGCATGTCCCGTATTTTGCACTTCGTCTTCAACGCCATTGCGCCAGAGCGGGTTATTCGGCCCGAGCTCCCACGGTCCTAATGGACTGACCTCACTGCGGTTCACCCATTCGCTATGGCCACTTTCAGTACCGCCTTCTGCTGTGAACAGATACCAGTAACGGCCGCGTTTGAAGATATGTGACCCCTCGGCAACACCAGAAGAAGATTCGCGGATCATTTTAGGCACTGACGTAGAATTCCCGGTGGCCAGATCAACAGTACATATGTGAATCGCAAAATCCTTAAACTTAGCGCCAATGGTTGGCTGAATCTTTCTGTAAGTAGACGATAAATATACAGTTCCATCGTCATCCCCAAAAAGCTGTATTCAACTGTCATTCCCGCGATTATTTTAGGGGAGTGGTCAAAACTCACATCTTGGTCAAAGCCAACTTGATCAAAATAAATTGGATCAGACCATGTCTTCTCATTCCATATATCGGTTGTTTTGACATAAAACCCCTGTGGCCAAACTCGGTCATCCTGTTGAGGACGATAACGTTGAAAGCTCGCGGCAGTGATATAGTAAACCCCTTTGTGGTAACGAATGGTAGTTGCCCAGACACCTCCTCCCGGTTCCGGTGTATGGATTTGAAGCTGGCTGGGACGTGTCAACGCATGACCGATCAACTTCCATTGAATCAAATCCTGGCTATGGTAAATGGGAACTCCGGGAAAGTATTCAAAGGTGGAGGTGACCAAGAAAAAGTCTTTGTCGACACGAACAATTGATGGGTCGGGATTAAACCCGGATATGATGGGATTATTGTAACTCATTTCTGTCAAAATATACTGAGTTGACAGCGCCTTTCAGTGGGCTTATATATGAATGCATATATTCCGATTGGTGGAAAAACAACCCCCATAGAATCCGTATTGTAAGGGAAGGTCTTTCAAATGGAGTGCTGGTAGTAAACCACAATATATATAAAGAGTATATACTATATACGGGATGGTTTAATCAAGGATATAATACTTTGTTCCTCGTAAATTATCGAATCCAATACGTAGAAGGTATTGGGCTGAATGCACTCGACAGAATCCTACAACATAAGTGATCAAGGACGTTATTCGTCTGTCGAAATCCAATTCTCATCTCTAAGTAAGGGGTGCTTTTGACACAAGAGTACTCCGTCCTTCACAACCACTGATTTATGGAGGTTATCTACCAAACCAGTATCTCCCTCGGTCCATGACGTCTCAGGGCAGAAGTATAACAAGCACAAGAATTATTCGAACAAAAGAAAAACTGGGAAAGGCGTCTAATAACCCGTTCAAGGTCGACTAACTATCATCCTCACCCGAAGTTCTGCCGAAGCAATGTGGGGGACGTCACCATCCCCTCATCTCAATCTGGCAATGCGGGTTGACCCCCGCGCCAAGGAAAGAATGGATTTTGGGGCTGTCATTGCTGTCGATGGGTTCTACTTGCAAATCGAATTCGCAAAGCATTAAATCATATCACACGCTATGGCAACTACTCGTGTAATTCAAAAAACCCGCGATTCGAATCTCATCGCTCTCGAGGCTTTGCCTCATAGCCTGTCAGATACAGGTTCACCTTTGGGTCCTGAAAGTTTTCCGTTGTTGGAGAAATGGAACCAGCCTCGCGTCAATATTCATCGAACCTTTGCAACATTCTGGTCATTCCTAGTCATGGGTGCGAATGACGCAGCCTATGGTGTAAGTTGATTGGGTCCAAAAGGAGCACATTTTGATTCCAATGTTGAGGGATATATGCTGACTATTCGCAGGCTCTAATTCCATATGTAAGATGAAAACTCCGCAATTGACAACCATCTATCTCATCTAGCATACAGCTAGAATCATACTACCATCTATCGTACACGGTTGTGTCTCTCGTTTTCTTGTCACCTCTAGTAGGCTATACAGTCGCCGCTTTTCTCAATCACCGCATCCACTATACGTTCGGTCAACGTGGTGTGGCCATTATCGGGCCAGCGTGCCATCTCATTGCCTATATTATCAACTGCATTCATCCACCGTATCCAGTACTAGTGGTCGCATTCATCTTTGCAGGGTTGGGAAATGGCCTAGAGGATGCTGCATGGAATGCATGGATTGGTAACATGGCTAATGCAAATGAGGTGCTGGGAGTGTTGCATGGCATCTATGGAGCTGGTGCAGTTATGAGTCCGTTGGTCGCAACGTCAATGATTGCTAAGGGTGGCCTGCCGTGGTATTACTTTTATTATGTCATGGTAAGTGCTTAGACCTTGGGAGGTTTCTCGCAGGTATTGACCACGAGTTAATGGTCAGGTTGCATGTGCGGCCATCGAATTGGTGGTTTCTGGTGCATGCTTCTGGAAATCAACCGCCGCCGATTTCCGCACATCCAATATACCCTCATCTGACGAGACCAAAAAAGGTGGCTTGAGAGATGCACTCTTCAAGCGCCCTGCTGCCCGGGTAACCTGGCTCTGCGCATTGTTCCTGCTGGGATACGTGGGAGTAGAGGTTGCGCTGGGAGGGTGGATTGTTACTTTTATGATCCGAGTTCGGCAAGGTAGTGCCTTTGCTAGCGGTATGACAGCCACTGGATTCTGGTTGGGTATCACAGTTGGACGGGTAGTTTTGGGGTTCGTGACCCCCCGGGTGGGCGAGAAAGTCGCAATTTCGGTGAGCGCCACGTGTTTTCTTTTCTTTTTTTCTTTCTTTTTTTTTTTTCTTTTTGCGATAGAACCGGACTGATCTCCAACAGGTATATATTGTGTGCTCGATAGGATTTGGTTTGGTTTTATGGCTTGTACCCCAGTTCTATGCGTCAGCCGTGGCAGTGTCTCTTCAAGGCTTCTTCCTTGGACCCCTTTTCCCTGGGGCAGTTGTGATTGTTACCAAGCTTCTTCCTCGGCACCTGCATGTCACCTCAATAGGGTTTGTCGCTGCCTTTGGGGGTAGTGGGGCGGCAATCCTCCCTTTTGCAGTCGGTGTGCTTGCACAAGCCAAGGGAGTGAAAGTGCTACAGCCATTTATCATCGCCCTATCTGGTGCCATTCTCATCACGTGGCTGGGATTGCCACGGGTGGTCAAGGTCAGACACAATGAATAACTAGTTAACTACTCCGTAGTTAGTTAACTAGTTAGTGAGTTAAATCAGAACTCACATGTTGACATGTGAGAATCATTCGGGAACTTTTGTTATCAGATCCGATTCTTTATCTCAGACTTTTCGCTCATCCTCCGTCTGCAATGTTGTACTCTGTTTCACGTGAGCCTTTACTTTTCGTCTTAACAACCTGACCACATGACCAAAGGTATAATTTGCAAGTTTAACACCTCCAAACCGAGGTCATTTTGAAATTTCGAGGATTATATGTATTCCGAACGTAGATGGTTAGTGCCGATCGCCGGTGATCTCATCACTTTCTCAGGCCCGATGATCGGGGCTGATTTCGGGACTGGTTAAGCCGTGAAAGTGTACAATATGTACAATATACGTTCTTCCCGCTTCCCCATTACAAAATTAGTACATGATAGAATGTTCAGGGCTGACTCCTCTAACAGAATAAATGGTATAGTTAGAGTACTCCATCTACCTATGTATACTCAAAAGGTGTAAAAGGCAGTCAACCTCGGGAATTCGAAATTTCCAAATTTCGAAGTACCCCGGCCCTCCGCCATTTTCCCACTTAGTCAGCTTTTTTTAAGCCGAGGCTGTTTCCTAATTTAGACCCTCGGCCCTTCCAAATCTTGGAAGCTTCCTCCCTCTCTATGGGGTTCATAACCCCATCTTTCCCCATTCCAAGGTTCTTTCTCTTCCATCTATTCCAATATATTATCCCCCTTTGTTATTCACAATGCCAACACCTCCTCCTAATTGGGTTAAGGCCCTGAAGCCGTCGGGTCCGCAAGGATCTGAGCTCCTCCAACAGGAGCGTGCTCAATCGAATGTCGACGTGGAAAGATTATCCGAGCTGCTGCATACAAAGGAAACCCTAGAGCGACGAGCATCCCTCCTAGCTCTTTTGCAACCCGAAAAAGTATTTGATAAGTCTCAAAATCATACTTTGGGCCGTGTAGAACGGCTCCAGCGGTCACTGGGCAAGGCCAAACGCCTCCAGCAGCTTGCAGAAGAGCACAAATGGTCAATGACAGAGCTCCATGCGGCCAATGACTTGATCGGTGAACCTACTCCATATGGTTTACACGCCAGCATGTTCCTGGTAGGTAGACTGCATCCTCCGCCAAGGAATCCAACTGACCGTTTCGATCGCTATCTAGGTGACTCTCCGGGAACAAGGCACCCCCGAGCAGCACAAACTGTTCCTTGAACGTGCAGAAAAATACGAGATCATCGGTTGCTATGCGCAAACAGAATTGGGTCACGGATCGAACGTGCGCGGTTTGGAAACCACCGCCACCTGGAACTCCAACGATAAGACATTCACCATCAACTCCCCAACATTGACTGCTTCGAAGTGGTGGATCGGATCCCTCGGTCGCACGGCCAATCACGCTGTGGTTATGGCCCAGCTGTTTATTGATGGCAAGAACTACGGTCCACACCCGTTCGTTGTGCAGGTCCGTGACCTCGAAACCCATCAGCCATTGGATAATGTATATGTGGGTGATATTGGTCCCAAGTTTGGTTACAAGTAAGTCCGTTCTCACTATTTGGCTGGCACTAGAACTAATGAATGACTACTTTAGCACGATGGATAATGGTTTCCTGCTGTTCAACAACGTCAAGATACCCCATGTCAACATGCTAGCCCGCTTCTGTCAGGTCGACAAAGAGACGAACCACTATGCTAAGCCTGCTATGCCGTCTCTTGTCTTTGGTACTATGACTTGGGTGCGCGCCAATATTGTTCTCGATGCCGGCGGTGTTCTGGCTCGCGGTGTCACTATTGCGACCCGGTACTGTGCAGTTCGGAGGCAATTCCAGGATCGTGATGCGGATCCACACGCGGGTGAGACCCAAGTACTGAATTATAAGATGGTCCAAGTGCGCTTGCTCCCGCTTTTGGCATCCATGTATGCCCTTCATTTCACTGGTCGAGGCATGATGCGTCTGTATGAGGAGAATCAAAGCCGCATGAAAGCAGCCAGTTCGCCGGACCAGGAGTCGCGGGGCGCTGGACCCGAGCAGCTTCGCGCCGGTGCAAATCTTCTGGCAGATCTACATGCCACCTCCTGTGGTCTCAAGGCTCTGGCCAGTACCACTGCTGGTGAGGGTCTGGAGGTCTGCCGTCGCGCATGTGGTGGCCATGGATACAGCAGCTACAGCGGCATTGGACCGGCATATGCGGACTATCTGCCCACACTGACCTGGGAAGGTGACAACTATATGTTGACCCAGCAAGTTGCACGTTACGTACGTCCCCGTTCTTTCTTCCATTCTATCAACCTGAGACTGACAATATCAACAGCTTCTTAAATCTGCCCGTGCCGTCCTGGCTGGCAAGCCGGCTGGTAACGACACTAGCCAGATCCTCCAGTCATACCTTGACCGACGCGACAAGGGAGCTTCATTCGATGTGCTCGATGAAGATAAGGACATTGTTGCTGCCTTTGCATGGCGCACGGCCCATCTGACTTTTGAGGCCCTGAAGCATCGGGATGCTGAGCAGCGCTCCTGGAACAGCCTCTTGGTTGACTTCTGGCGCTTGTCCACGGCTCACTCTCAGTACCTGATGGTGAAGAACTTCTACGAGGCGGTTTCCTCCCCCAAATCTCAGCGGCCTTGGATCCAGAGACCAAGGGCCTCATGCACCAATTATTCCGACTCTTCTCGCTGCATACCTTGGAGCGCGAAGCGGCTGAGTTCTTCTCTTCCGGTGCGGTCACTGTGCGACAAATCACACTGACTCGGACTACTGCGGTACTAAAACTGCTCGATGAGATCCGCCCGCACGCTGTCCGATTGGTCGATGCCTGGGCGATTCCGGACTGGCAGCTGGACAGCAGCCTGGGTCGCTATGACGGTAAGGTGTACGAGGATCTGTTCCGCCGGGCAAGCGAGGAGAACCCTGTTAACGACTTGGTGTTCGACCCTTACCCGTGGAGTTCGGCATTGCTCAAGAATGAGCCGGCCAAGAGCAAGCTGTAAACTTTTTGGTTCTGCGATACACGTGTTCCGATATAATTTTTGATGTCTTTCCAGTTTGAGGAATAGACCATAGAGAGAAGACTATAGTTATACCTAGATCTCATAGAATGGTCAATGATTGTGTTAGATACCTAGTCTATTGGCTCACCTTGTTCTCTAACGAATTTTTGCAATTCGTCTAGGTAGTGATCGTACTTGAATGGGGTATCCCCCCGAGATGGACGCGGAGGACCTTACATGGGACCTCCTCCTCCCGGCTCCCGGGGTGGATACGTGGGGCCGATGCTTGGCCGTGGAGGTCGCGGTGGAATGGTGCCACCTCGAGGACCCCCAGTCGGCTATGGGTATCCAGATCAGAATTTCCATGCTGAAGAACCTATCCCGAGGATTCACGTGCCAATTCCTGAATGTCCATGGACCCGGTGTACCGGCATTCCACGTTCACATGGTTGGTTGGCAAAGGATATTCTAACCAGAGTTCGATTGTCCTCTGTTCCTAGAGACTGGAATAGAATTTGCAGGTTGTGTAGGACAACCCATATCCGAACTCAGACCCATAGAGCATTCATTTCAAGTCGACCGTGCAATAGTCGATGAACAAGCGCTCGACAAATACAGATCTTGGGAACTGGCAAAATCAGCGCATTGAGACACAGTCTGGGCGTAGCCCGTGCTTCCACATTCCACAACAAGCATAAGACATATCCTATGGGATGATGGCAATGTGGTATCTGAGGGTGGAACCTAAATTTGTCGACGGCTGAGAGATAGGGGTGTATGTATTAGGTAGAAGATATCATGGCAGTTCGAAGACCTTCTTGGTGAATTTATACTATACAACCTAGTCAATAGTTTCGTTTACCAGGACGATCCTAGGCGTCAGTGAGACACCACCGAAAGATGAAAGAAATGAAATCAACTTCAATCAGCGAAATAGAAGAAAAGAAAAAAAAAACCAAAGAGGAGGGGACAACCCAGATGATTGAGCATCGAAAAGGCAATCATCCGAATTCAGCCCTGCGAATATAATTTACCCGACCTTTGTCGGAAATACGTATGATATATAGGATGAGCTCGCCTAGGCTCTTTGATTCAGATTAAAGCCCTTCCGATGCGAAAAGCTTCGTGATGCTGCAATACGATTCCACCAGAGCGCCGCCATCTCACAGATAGTGACATATTCGACAAGTCGATATAACGAGCATTTTCACGGTACAAGCAAAGAAAACATTTTTAGAGGAAGATCTTATTGGGCGTGTTCGGGAGATAGTACAAGAAATGGGCCGACAAAATGACATTTGTGAATGAAAACTTACCCTCGTCGATATAACTACAACATAACCTGAATTAATTACCATCAATTGTCCGGGGGCATGACGTCGGTATGCCGATCTGTTGCGAGAAACGGCCTCGCTCTTGGAGTGTCGGTAGAAAGAAGGTATAACTGATAATAGCCAGAATGCACTCAATTATCCGTGTGGGGGATTGGGCTGGGAGTCACATAAAACCCTAAAACCGATATTGACGCGGATAAATAACATCTCGGTTAATAAGATGGTTAATAGGATGGCTAATAAGGGCCACATCGAATGCCCCGACTGGTTCTTCAATAAACTACAGGCCCGCCCAATGACCCCATGACCCCCAGTTTCCACCAACCCCGTCTTTTATGCCCCGGGTTTCTCCTCACTCCTCCGCAATTCATCTCCGTCTATCCTTTCCCGTTCCAAAGTAAATGCCCCGTCCCGGAATCCTATCATGCAATGTCGCGTAGTCCGAGTCGACCGTGCCGAATCGTGCATTGACCTGTCAATCGGCTACTACTTTACTTATAAAAACGCCTCCCCGCAAGCCCAAGGCTTCGATTGACTACCTTCACAGTCCAATTCAACCATGTATACTATAACGAACATTTACGGTATGTGTGGTCTGGCTTTTCAATGTTTTCGTATGATGCTCATATTCCACAGTTCTTGCCGCCTTTGGTACTATTGGAGGCGCTCTTTTCGGCTTCGATGTGAGGTATGCACCATTCTACATGATTTCCCTGATATGATAACATGGAATAACATAATATATAGCTCAATGAGCGCCTGGATTGGCGTTGATACATATACAGATTACTTCGGGTCGCCAGACTCTAACCTCCAAGGTGGAGTACGATGGATCTCTAGTCTCCATTTTTTAATTCATGTGCTAACATTCCACACTAGATTACAGCATCGATGTCCGCCGGTTCCTTCGCCGGTTCAATTGCAGCCGGTTGGTTGTCGGATATCCTTGGTCGTCGCTATGCATTAATGATTGCCTCTCTTGTTTGGATCGTCGGTGCCATGGTCCAATGCAGTGCACAAAATGTAACACATTTGGTCGCCGGACGTGTTGTCAGTGGACTTGCAGTTGGTGTGACCTCCTCGCAAACATGCGTCTATTTATCTGAACTAGCGCCCGCTCGTATCCGTGGTCGCGTGGTGGGCATTCAGCAATGGGCAATCGAATGGGGTATTTTGATCATGTACCTCATTGCGTATGGCTGCGTGGTTGGCGTATCTGGAACGGCTGCGTTTCGGATTTGCTGGGGTGTACAGGCCGTGCCAGGCCTCATCCTGTTCATCGCTTTGTTCTTCTTCCCCGAATCCCCTCGCTGGCTTGCCTCGCAGGAACGTTGGGAAGAAGCATTGGACACACTGGCAATCATTCACGCCAATGGTGATCGCCATGACCCAGTTGTACAGGTAGAATTCGAAGAAGTCCAAGAGGCCGTGCGTGTGGCGCATGAATCCCAAGATGTCTCATTCCTGGCGTTGTTTGGACCTCGTGTTTGGAAGCGCACGATGTGCGGAATGGGTGTTCAAATGTGGCAGCAACTTCTGGGCGGTAACGTTGCCATGTATTATGTGGTTTACATTTTCGAAATGGCTGGCATGGTAAGTTCCTCCTCAAACAAAACGAAGGAAGCTGGAGCGGTTATGCTGACCATCAAATACAGACTGGGAACACAACGCTGTGGTCCTCCGCTATCCAGTATGTCATCTTCTTGGTGACTACAGGCTGTATGCTTCCCTTCATTGATCGCGTTGGGCGACGAAACCTACTCCTTGTCGGATCCGTCACCTGCATGGTTGTGCACTTCATCATTGCTGGTGTCATGGCCAGTAAAGGCAACCCAGTTCCAAATGTCAATGGGAATGCCAATTTGACATGGGAGATCAAGGGCAGTGCAGGAATGACAGTCATCGCCTTTTCATACATCTTCACTGGCATCTACGGCCTGACTTGGGTATGCTATAATTCAATTATGTTTGTATACGAAACATCGTCTAACATTTTTAGGCTCCTACTGCATGGATTTATGCCGCCGAGGTTTTCCCCCTTAAGTATCGAGCGAAGGGCGTCGGCTTGTCGGCCGCCACCAACTGGATTTTCAATTTTGCTCTGGCTTACTTTGTGGCACCGGCCTTCCACAATATTCAGTGGAAGACCTATATTATTTTCGGGGTGTTCTGCGCTGTGATGACTTTCCATGTGTTCTTCACATATCCTGAGACTGTGGGCCGGTCTCTTGAGGAGATCGACCTAGTCTTCGAGACCGATATCAAGCCATGGCGCACTCACGAGATCGGAGATCTTTTCGGGGAACAGATTGAACGTCGCAAGGAGGTTGGTGCCAAGACGGATACCAGTGCAACGCATGAAGAAGTGGTCTAAATCACCGCAACACAGTCGGCCAGAAATATATGATTTTTACGAATACCCGAACCCCGAACTGAGACATTTGATAATCATATCTTGTTGTACAATTATTATATTCAATGGACAATATATTGACGTTAGAGATGTTGTGTGATGTCGTATAAGGTGGAGATAACATGAGCAATACCCAGGGACACCTTTTCACACACAATGCTTTGTGCGAGTCAGTCGGTTATACAGAGGTGGCACATTGATTTGATGGGTATGTTCATAGAAACCTTGATTATGTAGAAACGATACGTCTGAATCAAGTTGACCGTATGAGTATCTCGAAAAGAAAATCGAAAAAGATAAACTGTGTATAGCCCCAGGGTGAATTACCATTGACGGAGTACAAGGATCGACTCTCTGTACTTTCAATCTTGTTTGGGAGAGCACTAGAATATTAGGTAGGCTTCTAAGCTATCAATTGACCAACAATCATAGGGTCAGTGTTGGAATGTAGGGTTTCGAGATTCATCACGCCGAAAGTGATCGACCTCGAGTAACGAACCGTGATCAAATAACACAACCTTGTCATGAGATTGACTTTCCAGTCGAACAATTTAAATTTTCAGAGCGTGAGATAATTCTTTGGGCAAAGATATAGATGTTGCTTTGGATCTATAGAATATCTTAGCACCTTGTCATCTTGTCAAGAGAAAAGATACTACATACCAATCAACGTAGCAAGGAATGTGATGTGAAAGTGAAAAAGCCCGAGAATAAATCAAGATATAACCCCCTTGCATAGTTTATCGGGTTACATCCGGCTGTAGTAATGTAGGTCCCATAGATGTCCTACAAGGAAAGTACTGTACGTCCACACTCAGAGTTAATGTGCTGATTTCTACCTTGCCTATTTCACACACCCTTCGACAAAAGGCATTTTTATGAGTTCTCACTATCTATCAACTACGGAATTCAAACTTGAAGTTTCATGGCAGATGGTTCTAGCATGAATGACTTCAGGGATCAAGATAACACAAATCGAGATGACATCCCATTGAAAGAGGCTGGAACTGAAAATAGTGATGATGATGATGATGATAATGAAGAAAAGCAAGTCTATCCACCGAGTTCAAAGCTTGCTCCAATTTTGATAGGACTCTGCTTTCAATCTTTTTGTATTGCCTTGGTAAGTTTCACGTTCTTGTTACGATTTCATGAGCTGATGTGGACGATTTACCAGGACAACACAATCCTCTCCACCGCGGTTCCCAAGATTACTGAACAATTCAACTCACTAGGCGACTTATCTTGGTATGCCAGTGCTTACCTTTTAACCACATGTGCCGTCACTCTACCATTTGGCAAGATATACACATATTATTCGACAAAGTGGACATATATGATTGCTCTCGGCTTGTTTGAACTTGGGTCCCTAATATGTGCAATCACACCAACATCGAAGGGATTGATATTTGGACGAGCAATTGCCGGCGTCGGATCGGGAGGATTGTCACCGGGTGCTCTACTTGTGCTCGCAAATAGTGTGCCCCTTCACCGACGTGCCCTCTATTTCGGAATTATCGGCAGCACGAGTGGAATTGCGACGATCACAGGACCACTGTAAGTCTTGCCATTTCAATCGCAGGGAATGGCGGCTAATTCTACAATAGGCTAGGGGGACTGTTAACTGATCATGTCAGTTGGAGATGGTGTTTTTGGATAAATCTACCTTTTGGTGTTCTCACTGGCCTTGTCATTTTACTCTTCTTCAAGGATTCCACATTGCCAAAACCCAAGATAAGCCGAGTTGGGCAGCTAAAGCGAATGGATCCTCTTGGTATACTTGCATTCATCCCCGCGGTGGTCTCCCTTCTACTGTGTCTGCAATGGGGTGGCACCAAATACAGCTGGGGCAATACTCGAATCATTGCCCTATTTGTTCTGTTTGGCGTACTCGGTTTTGCGTGGTGCATTATCCAGGTCTGGCAGCAGGACAACGCCACAGTACCGCCTCGTTTACTCAAGAATCGAAATGTCCTTGGGGCAGTAATTCATGCTACCTTTCTAGGGGGCTCTTTTTTCATTTTTGGATATTATGTGGGTTCTGAATGTACTCCTTTCGGCTTCATCGCTAACAAGTTTCCAAGCTCCCCATCTGGTTTCAAGCAGTCAAGGAGGTTTCTGCATCAGAATCTGGAATCAACAATCTTCCGATGGTGGTCGCTATGATTGTATTCTCTGCTTTAGCAGGATTAATGGTTAATATCGTTGGATACTATACGCCACTTATGTTCGCTGGAAGTGCTTTTCTCGCGATTGGCTCTGGACTGTGTACAACTTTCAAAGTGAACAGCGGACATCCGCGGTGGATTGGATACCAAGTTATACTTGGAATTGGAGCAGGAGTTGGCTTCCAGCAGTCGATCAACGCACTTCAGACTGTACTGCCATTACAGGATATACCGATCGGAATTGCCATCATCACCTTTGCACAAAGCCTCAGTGGGGCAATGTTTATTTCGATAGCCCAAACAGTTTTTGAAAATCGGCTTGTGGCCAGCATAGCGGCTAATGCTCCCAACCTCAGTCCAGACGCCTTGATAAAAGCCGGAGCTGCGAATTTATCCCAACGCGTGCCCAAAGATATGCTGCCCTCCGTCCTATATGCCTACAATATTGCCATCATTCAGACATTCTACGTGTCTGTTGCCGCCGCACTACTCTCATTTATTGGTGCTGGACTCGTTCAATGGAAGTCCATGAAAAGACGGCAGAAATATGACGGTGCAGCTTGATCCAGTGGACATCAGGAGTTGGTGACCTTTCTGATTGATTGGTATCCTATGTTGGTTTTGAGTTGTTCATGGGCATTTTCCGTCGTGATTCTTGTAAATAAGGATGTCCAGATTGCCAGAAAGGTGAATCACAGTACCATACATAATATTTGGGAGTTTCCCGGTTGATCTCAATCTCACACTTGATACAGCCAGTTGATACGTTTGCGTGAATGGTTAGTTAATATAAGAAAAAAGCACGACCCAATGAAGATAAATATACAGTTCAATGATACTAGGGCGTTAGAAATAACCTTCTTTTTCTTTCCTAAATTAGACATTGGCTTCTAAATGTGATCGAACGTACTGTTGAAACTTGAAACCGTGATTGGTTTTAATCTCTGCATACATACAGACCTCGGTATATGTAGGCTTGAATTCCGTGCATTCCCTAATAGCCTGCCACTCTCCAAGTCTGTTTCAAACTTTTGGCCCAACAGCGAAAACTTCATTAATCCCCACTGATCTCAACTTATAATCGTGGGTGATCATACTTTATATACTTTGTTTGCCCTGTTTGCCCTGTTTGTATTGTTTGTATTGTTTACTTCGTTTGTTTGAGTGCATCTGGAAAACCTTCCCCCTTTGATGTGTCTCGAGTGAGAGATCAGGCTGCTCCAGGACTTTTAAAATATTTTTGAACTCTTCTTTTTTCGTCTCTTTTCAACAACCCTCATCTCTTAATCCACTGTCAACGTGGAACATCTTCACCGAATTCGCCGCCGCAAATCGACGTCAAATTCACAACACCCAGAACATACTCCTGGACTTTCAACAATAGGCTTAGGTCAAGGCTTTAGTTCAACACCGATCCTCATTTTCCCCTTCTTCATCGAACCAATTCCTTCACTTCCAGATATCGCGTTCACTGACCTCATTTAAATACGACACGTGGGACGCAGCGATCCGCGCGGAACACGCACCACACGCACCACCACCCTTACTACAGCCAATGCCGTCACCGGTAACACCATCGTGCGCTACAACAACCTATTCGCTCACTAGGTTTTTCATTTTCATAGTGAGACTCAACTCTATAATTCTATCTTCCTGGGTGGTGTCGAATCCCATAATCTTCGAACTTAGCTTCACAATCTCTCCAATCAATCAATCTCACATTGCACGATGCATCTCGACATCCATGTAGATCTCTCTTAATAATCCCCTTGGCATCTGAAGCAGTCAAAATCACTAATAAGTAGGTATGTATCCGGGTACAAGCCTTCTGCTGCAATTTACATACATTTGTTTGCCCTTGTCACACATTCATTCCACTTAAAGTTCTCTTTGAGCGAGATACGACTCGATAGGCTATGTCATCCACTATTGATCATGAATTTGACTCCGAAATAATCGTCTCACCCAGACTATCAAGTGTGCCGACAACTCCTGATCAAAGTTTGAATGGCGGCACAGATAGACTCGACGAAGAGTCGAGTAGCACCAGAACCACTGTGGGGGATGATAGTGATCTAGAGGTCTCAGTTGGTGCAAGGCCAATCCGAAATATATGCTGCGTTGGCGCAGGCTATGTCGGTACGTTGTGCGGATGCTATTTCCCCCTATGACTGACAGACTGATCACCAACAGGCGGTCCAACTGCTGCCATCATTGCATTTAGAAACCCACATATCCGAGTCACAGTTGCTGACAAAGACGAGCGACGCATTCGAAGATGGAATTCTCGACATCTACCTATATACGAACCCGGGCTTGCTGAAATCGTTCGGATTGCACGAGATGGACTCCGACATTATCCCACCCCACCTACGGCAACTAAAGCAGGAGTAATCTCACACGTCGTTGAACCGTATAAAACGCATGAATCGCAAAAGATGCACGACAAACCACAGGGAGAAACTACATTCTCTCGGATGCCGAACTTGTTTTTCTCTGCCAACGTTGCAAGATGTATTCGAGAGTCGGATATTGTCATAATTGCGGTTAACACTCCGACCAAAATGCGAGGATCAGGCGCAGGGAGTGCAACAGATATGACAGCTTTTGAGGCTGTCGCTGCAGATGTTGTGCAGCATGCAAGGAACGGATCGATTATTGTGGAGAAGTCCACAGTTCCTTGCAAAACAGCCCAGATGATCCAGGAGATGGTACGTGATACCATACCCTCCGACCATGAAAACACGCTCACACCTTTTATCCTTATAGATTTCTGTACGTCGGCCCGGCGGTCACTTTGAGATTCTGTCCAACCCTGAGTTCCTCGCGGCCGGGACTGCAATTCACGACCTATTACATCCAGACCGAGCTATCATAGGTTCTGCAACAACAGAAACCGGGAAGGCCGCAGCAGAGACACTAGCTGGAGTCTATGCTGCCTGGGTTGACCGAGCCCGCATCATCACTACCAACATCTGGTCATCGGAGTTGGCGAAACTCGTGGCTAACTCTATGTTAGCCCAACGACTCAGCAGCATCAACAGTATTTCGGCAATCTGTGAGGTCACAGGGGCCGAGGTTAATGAGGTCTCGGCGTCGATTGGAATGGACTCCCGAGTTGGTGACAAATTTCTCCGCGCAGGCATTGGGTTCGGGGGTAGCTGTTTCAAAAAGGATGTCCTCAGTCTTGTATATCTTGCTGAGTCCTTGGGTCTCAAGGAAGTTGGGGCATACTGGCGCCAGGTGGTGACTATGAATGAATATCAGCGCAACCGATTTACCAGTCGTGTTATCAAGTGCCTGAACAATACTCTGGTGGGAAAGAAGATCACTCTACTGGGGTATGCTTTCAAAAAGGACACATCGGATACCCGAGAGGCACCTGCCCTAGAGATAATCAAGACTTTGCTTGATGAAAACCCCGGAGAAGTTGCAATATTTGACCCTTGCTGCAATCCCTATGTCATCGAAAGTGAGATCCGTCAGCTACACGGATACGGGCCTCCCGCTCTCAGAGATGATGGTGGCGCCGTGAGAGTCTACTCAGATGTCTATGAAGCCTGTGCATCATCTAATGCGATACTCATTGTCACCGAGTTTGATGAGTTTCGAAATACTGAATTGGTTGCCGTTCCTCGTTCATCATACCTCCCACCGGGACACCTACCCTCGCAGAAAGATGTAATTCCTGGGACGGATGGTGTGATTAATCCACTATATGTCACCGACGCTCAAGAGAAACTTCACATCGAGCCTAATTGTGCTGCAGATTGCCCAGACTGCCAGAGAGAAAATGGCAGCGAGCTTGCTGCGGGTAAACCCAACGACAACCTTCCCAAGAAGCAGGTTGACTGGAAGAGAATTGCGGATAACATGGCAACACCGAAATGGTTGTTCGATGGGCGATGCATTATTGGGATCAGGAAGATGAGCCAGTTAGGTATTCGAGTTGAGAGCATTGGCTCCGCTGGCGATGGCTATTGACAGTGCGGGGAACAACGGATTCTCATGGGCTCTTTGATTTTCTCTTCTTTTCTGCTCTATCTTCCTACTCATAGCAGACGTACCATATAATACATACACTCATTGGACAGTTCGCATTGTTCCACTTAGCCGCCATTTACGTGGATCAGCGACCAGCTTGGCCCATAGCAGTGACCGAGGTCCTGATTTCTTGATTGCGTTGACAATTCCAATTATTTGCCATAGGTAGCCTTGGTGCATGACTTTGTTCGGTGGTTACTTCATTTCAGTGGCCATTCTGTCTTTTTCATGCCAGAACCAAAACGTTGGTTATTCGATATGATTCAGGACGCGTTCAGGCCCAAATCGCCATAGAGTCGAAGGGATGGTCATCGTTTCGGGATGTACCGAAAAACACGAAGCGACAAAGACAAAGTATACAATAGATCAATTTTTCCTTCCTTTTGAAAAAGAAAAAGAAAAAGAAAAAAAAGGCTTCTTGCGTTTCTTTGAGTTTAGAGAATACAGCAAGACTCTGCGCGCACTGAAGCCTTTTCTGTACCGGTGCGACGACTGCCTCCTGACTCAGCCAGTGAAACAGTCTCCAAGGGGAATTCCGGGGACTCTTTCCCAGATATGACTCGTATGCGGTGTCTATCCAAGGTAGAGGCTAACCATATAGCACGGCTCATCCAAGGCACGTCTGCAAAATCAGACTGGTATTCAGAAAGTATCGCCTCTATTCTTGCCAACTGGGTGAGATTATCCGATGCCGCCCAAGCAACAGCTAAGCATAGAGGAATATACCCTGCACCAATCGGCCGGTAGCAAGATGCCAGTTCGGCTTGGATTGTGATCTCATCGCAGAGAAAGACAGCCTCACTCACCAAGGAAGCGTTCCAGGGATCAAAAACTCGAAGAAGACTGTTCAATAGCACAGCCAGCGCAGAGATAATTGCATAAGCTGCTTGGATACGGCCATGTCTCGCAACTTCAGAGGATGAAAAAGACCCAAGAGCAGCTGCTGCACATTGGTCAAGATGTTGTTTTATTTGCTGTGCATCGAGTCTCAGTTGCATGTACGTCTTTGCAATTTCGGCAAGGTGTGGCTCGGGATTTTGAACGAATTTAGGAAACATGGCGAGATGTTGCAGCTCCGTGGTTGATTGCGGCTTATTGTTGTCCCGCGAGGTAGATAGACGACGTTTGAAGGTTGAGGTCAGTTCCCAAAATTCCGAGTCCATCTTAATGCGAGGGTTGACGATCCCTTCGAGTATCTATCAAACCCAGAGTTTTGTAAGTTATTTCTCGAGGGTAATCGGGATCCAAACATACAATAGGCACACAAAGTGTAATGACCATCTCCATCTCAAAGGTGCAGTTCCACTCATGCACTGCAGCAGCCCTTAGGAGATGGGCTATAGCTTCGCTGTGACTAGTGAGTGAATCATCGTGTTTTCCTAGCCAACTCTGAAAAATCAGCTCCTATCCCATGGAAATCGCTTTTGGCGGTTAGACGTCTCGACTTGGTCAGGCCAAGTGGAACTTTACCTGGCAGATGATAATCAAATAGACAGCACATAGAGTGTTGGGGCTTCGGGCCTCGGCTGGGTCGTTCAAGCATTCTCTCAGTGCCCGCAGCGACAGTCCATAGAGAAAGAGTACATTTGGTGGGTAAGAGCCCGTGTGGAGAAACGGATAAGCGGTAGATAAAGCTCTCACGGCTGAATCTAGGACGGTGCTGTTGCCCAATCGCCGTGGAATATCCCGCAGGAAAGGGCCATAGTAGGTCATAGCATATCGAATATCGGTCACCTGGAATGCTGCTACAAAAGCTGCTGCCATTATACTTGTGTCAGTGCTAGGCACCTGTGTCGGTCCCCCGATAAACACTACTCTCTTGCCAGCAGAGGGAGATGATCGAAGCTTTGGTTGACTTTCTGCTCCGCTCTGTGTTTGCGTCACTTGTAGCGATTGATTCTTGAACATATACCGCTGCTGTCCTCCCCCAACACATGTCATTTTCAGACGTGCGCATCGTGAACATATCGGTTTAAGTTGATCACACTGATCTTTAAATTAATAAGATATAGCAAAATAGCCTCGTGGTAAGATCCAAACCTTCTTCTTCACCTTTCGACACGCATCGCAACCACGACTAGATGGAACCCCAGGCATGTGTGTGCGTTTTGGTCGGGTATAAGGTGGAGGAATGGAATATTGAGATAGAATCATCCCGAAATGGGAGAGATGGCGCGATGGGGAAATGCAACGTCATCGGTTCGTTGTCTCAGCCTAGCCAAGCCCTTCAAAGTCGAGTACAGAGTACATAACTAGTTGGTTAGTTATGTTGTAAGGAGGGAGACGAACCTTGGCAGCTTGGCAAGTAGCTGAGTTCTCGTATAAGTGAGCCAATCATAATGTGTTACAGCCACACTAAGCACACGATGTCCCCGCCTGGCAGAAACCCCATTTTGTCGAATTTGTTGTAGTGGCCTTAGGCTCCATATTGATGCCTCAGGTACCAACCCCTGGTCCATCATAGAAATCAACTCTCTCCTTCCTCTCTTCTTGGCCCCTACATTCTCAATCAGAATTTGGCCCAAATCGTCCGCCGTACGTGCCCCTTCTGGGTAGACTCCCACGATTCTTTTCTGGATACTGCATAGCAAAATTTTCACAGAAACAATTGTGAGCCTATCACAAAGCAGGTGTACGCCACTCAACAACGGTGATAGACATGGCGCATCTGAGGTGCCATCACTTGAAAGAGTGAGCAATCGCCACACTCGTGGGCGCATGATGGACTTGACCAAATGAACATATGGAGGGAATTTGCAGTTACCGAAGTATCCTCGTTTTATCCAGATTCAAGATAATTTCGTTGGTCCGAGCTCGATGGAAACTGTCGTTCTTTGTCTCTCGGAGATATTGAGGGACCCGGTAGGAACGTGCTTTCTTTGACACCGATGGCCTTTCGGTTAGCTGTGTAATCATCATGATTATCCTTTTCATCCACAACTTTTTATTAAGCACCGCATCGATGGGAAGTGAGCTGATGCCCAGATGGATAGAGAGACCAAGGTCGTAGGTGGGAAAGCCCAAGATAACACCAGCTTAGTCCAACCTGAATCATATTAACTATTAGATTCATTTCCCGATAAGCAAATAACAGACTAATGGACTGATCTTAGAAGTGTGTATGCCAAGGTGTATGGTGGACGGGTTCTTGGTGTTCTCTTTTGGCACCACCCCCGCAATGCACGATACTGATTGTCGCCCGCTGGGGTCATGATTCCTGCGTGCACTGAACGATGGTGGCGTCAATATTGAAGGCCGAGCTCCTTCCTTTTGAGTAAACTGCAAATGGCTCAAGATATCCGACCCGACATCCTGAAAGAACCTGGTCAATGTTTCTATTAGTCGCACCAATAAAACTCAGCTCGGCGAGTGGAGGGTGGCCAGACCAAACTACTAAAAACAACAAAGAATGATATATCTAATCTCACGGGGATATAGTTCTATAGTCAATATATTTGAGATATCTCGTCGGTTGTCATTCATCTAGGACTCCTATACCTAAACTCTAGTCCTAATGGCAGAGTTTGACGACCAACACAGTCGAGTTCCCGAGTCGGTCTTTTTAGTAGGTATCCAATATAATGACAAGGATTGTTTTGACGTAAATAACTAACCTTATCCTAATAGGGCGTGCTATGGGCTCTCACAGGGACATCGTTTCTATTTGTCGTATTCCGCATATATGCCCAACTTGCCTCATTCCGTCGAGTATTCCTAGATGGCTACCTTGTTGTCTTCGCATGGTTCATCATGCTCACAGCTGCAGTCATCTGGCAAGTCGAAGGGAAGGTCCTTTACGAGTTATATGCCATCAGCGCTGGGACAAAACCATTTAATCTTGAATTGCTACCGAGGTACGATACATTCATGCGATTCAATGCTCCACTTCAGATACTATTTTACTCGGCGCTGTGGTGTGTCAAATTCTCGTTCATGGCACTCTTCTATCGAATCAGTGCCAAGGTTAAGCCTCTCCGTATCTGGTGGTTCGTGGTCCTTTTCTGTACAGCGAGTGTCTATATCGCATCAGTGGCCGATATCGAATACAAATGCAGTTTTGGAGGGTTGGAGTATATCATTTGTGAGAACAACTGAAATCAAATCCTATTGATTGACCTTAACACTGAGCTACGCAGCCCAATGTCCCCAGCCTCATCACGTTCATTATGAAAATCGCATGTTCTGGGCCAACTGTGTTGGAGATATCACCACGGACTTGATGAGTGAGTTTATCGCAAATACACCGAAATATTAAGTGACTTCCTTTGAACTAACAGTATTTCTCTCTTTAGTCCTGTCTATTCCCTTCCTTGCGCTATGGAAGACACGAATCTCGCTGCGAAAAAAGCTCATTTTGCTCAGTATTTTCTCCGCAACTATCTTCATCATGGTCACCGCGATAATTCGGGTGGCCGTCGGGATGGACTATGACCGTCAGATGAATATCGACTGGCTATGTTTCTGGAGCTTTGTTGAAGTGGACATTGGTATGTTATCTCAAGCTTTGGTCAGGTTGCGGTCCTAATACTGACCTTCGCTCGGTAGCGATTATTGTCTCGTGTGTCGCCTCCCTCCGACAACTCTTCGTCGCCTCGCAAAATCAGAGCTCATCTGCAAGGACCGCGTACTATGATACAAATGATCCCATTCTGAAAAAGCCGCAAGAAGGGTCCAGTCAAGATCTGTCGCGATCTGTGGGGGATGTCGAGTCACCCGCAAATGATGAGGTGCCCATGTCGCCCCTGAGTGTTGTACATGTTCGTCAAGATTTTGAAGTGACTCGTGCTAATGCAAGTCAGTCTACTAATTGTGAGAAGGCGTGCAGACCCCAGACGAGCTTTGACTAGTTTAGAAATTTCCATGCTTCTAAGCGTACATCGAGCCCGTTCATCTTCAGCTTTGTAGATTCTAATCGAATACCTCAATGATATTAGAGTAGGTTTAGCGAATAGATTGTTGAAATTCTTCTGGGGCACTTCAATGCTAGACTTAGCAATACTAATTGGCGTCTCTCGAATGGTTGTCTGGGTGCGCACTGCAGGCGGTCCGAACGTACTAATTTATTGTTCAATGGAAGGCAGGACAGTCTCCCACGGATTTTCAGGTCAGAAGGGCTTTGATTTTTTTTATTTTTGACTCATTGCTTTTCGCTTTTCACCACCACCGGCGTTTCGCAGGCGTCCTCGCCAAGGCCACTAGGATTATCTGTGAGTCAGAAAGATTCCCACGCATTCTTGAAAGGATACATCTACCACTAGAAAACCATCGACTTATCCTAAGGAGACAGCGAAATGTACCTGCCTATTGAATTGCAGTCGCAAATCCTCTATGAGACTCTCGAGATCTGCCCACTCCAGGATCTGTGGAAATTGAGGGCGGTCAATTGTATGGAGCCTTCCCCGTCTGTCAAACGCACTCTAACAGATGATTCCAGGCTTCTTTGCAAGTGCGGTTGAGGCCTACTTGTTAGAGCGTGTTCAACTCCGTGACGTTGTCATCCCTTCGACTGCCAACGCCGAACCCAAAGTCCGGTGGGAGGATCTTCCATATGGCATGAAACGTGTCTATCTCCACCGCAAGCTTCATATCCATGATCACAGCCAATGTGGATGGTCGAGTCTGGTTCACGGAATTCTTGACCTTCCTCATCAGAGAACCGAAACTCTTATCAACAAGCTCATCGATGCATACCTATGTGGAGAATTCAGTGGCTATCGCAAACTACTCGACCCTGATTTATATACAGCTGAAAAAAACAGACTCGTCTCTGCTCGCCGCACCATGCCATTCTATTGGCCACCCGAGAAATTCGAAACGACATTGAAGTATGCCTTAGCAGCGAGTGCCATTCAAAGAGGAGACTGTATCCAGCTGCAGACACTCCTTGATCAGGGAATTCACATTACAGGCCATAGTGACCGACTGGCCCTTGTTCCGCTGGATATCGCTGCCAAAAAGGGTTCTAAGGCGACCATAGAGCTACTTCTAGCACACGGTTGTCCAATGAAGTATCGCAGTCATAAGGATCATCATAACTCCATGTTTGACGAGACCAAAGTCACGGACATGATGGCGGAAAGTGGCAATGGCATCGGGTTAAAGGTCTGGATTGACCACTTGATAAAGGACGGACCAATGTATCCGAAGCTTTTGAAGCAGACGATGGCAAGGGGAGTTGTGGGCGGGCATGTTGAAGTCTTGAAGCTTGTCCAGGAATATTTTGAAGCCCTGTACGGTAATCCTGGATGGGGTGCTCATATGCTTGACCAGGCCATCAGGTATGGGTCATTGGACGCAATTAAGTATTTGTTCCATCGAGGTGAGGTGGATGCGCACACGCGAACAAGCCTGTCAGACAGGAGGCCGCTTTTGAAACTGCTGTGTGAATGTCCAATCCCGAAGAGACCAGATATTGTTAGGTTTCTTCTTGAAAAGGGGGCAGATCCAAATGGGAATGGCCCGTCGAAGAAAAAAACACCTTTCGAAGTGGCCGTCGAAGCAAAGGATTTTGAATCAGCATCAATTCTATTGAAGTATGGAGTAACTGTCAACTTCAAATGGATGATGCCATTGCTACTGAATAGCCAGACCCGTGCCGCTTTGGCTCAGCTGTTTTGGCCTGTCGGGCACAGTCGCCGAGTATACAAGACGAGAGGAAAGTCATATACTCTCTGTCGTGAGGCGAGGATGATAAACAATGTTGAGAATGTTTTCTTAGAACTGGGGTGGAGTGAGCAAGATGTGAAAGACTTGGGGATTGAACATTTTATCGATATATTCTAGTGATACTTAGTGTGCGGCTGGTTTAATGAATTGTTACTTAGAGTCAAAAGTGAGATCCAGCATACGAGGGCTTTAAGGATATGTGTAAGCCTTGAGTCGTAGATATTGACATGCATACTCTCCATTTTTGAAGGTGGTTTACCAAGGATATAAAACAATGGAAAAATGACTGTAAAAAAGCTACAATTACTCTTACTCCACGGTGCTGTCTTCCAAGGTTGGTTGATAAGTGCTTACCTACATATGTAGGTATGCGTAGACCATTACGTCCATAGGTCCAACCTTGAGTTTGTCTGCACCTTCCTTGTTCCCTCCTCGCCTCTCCCCCTCCCCATCTTTCTCTTCTTCCTCTTCCCTCCACCTCTCTTCTTTCTACCTAGCGTTTCCCATCTCTAACTATGGCATCCTCCATCGGCGCCGTCTCTGGAGAAAAGGACACTCAGTCTACAGCTCCATCATTGACAAACCTTGCGTTCAAAGAGGTTTGCCGTCAGCTGGAGGCATTCGTCGTCGGAGATAAGGCATCTGCGTCATTTGTCTGTGGGGGTCTTATCCCCATCGATACAAATTCCATAGCTGGTTCCACATCCCCCCGCCTATCTCTGTTTCACCGCCAGTGAGAATCTGCTGGTATACAGATGGTGACAATATCTCGCGAGTGTTAACTCTACCTCTTGACTCGAACGCGGACTCTAAGTCTACATCCGATGATTTGCACCAGTTGGTGGTGGGTTGCGAACCCGCGAGCTTTGGCAAGGGACAGGAGGAAGTTCTTGATCCTCGATATCGTAAAGCTCGAAAGCTTGAGCCCCGACATTTCTTTACCAGCTTTCATCCATCGGACTTCGGAATCCTTCAAAATGTGGAGCAAATTCTCCTTCCGAACTTCAACACACTGTCCCAAAACGCTCTACCCTTCCGGAAACTGAGTGCCGAGTTATACAAACTGAATGTATGTTAATCAAACACCTCTTTCGCAACAAATATTAATATGCCTGTTAACGATAGGTTTACTCGGGACCATCTGGCCTTTTCCGGCAGCATGTTGACACACCACGATCCCAGAGCCAGATCGGCTCGCTGGTTGTTTGCTTACCCTCTCCTTTCAAAGGCGGCAACTTGGTCGTTCAACACGAGGGAAAACAGGTTGCGTTTGACTGGAGTCACCAGAGTGCGTCTGCGATTCAATGGGCAGCATTCTATAGTGACTGTGAGCACCAGATCGAAACAGTCACAGAGGGCGAGCGCATTACCTTGACATACAACCTCTATGTAACCGAGCCAGTAGGGGGATCGATTCCGCCAAGCTTGATTATTGATCCAAAGAGCTTGCCCGTGCATAGCTTCATGAAAGAACTTGTCATGGAGCCAGCCATTATGAAAGAGGGTGTGTTTGCTATATCCACTCATTTGTCATTTGAACACAGAATATCAAGCTAATTCTTCCTAGGTGGCGCTTTCGGGTTCTATTGCTCTCACGCTTATCCTCATACATCCGATGAGGCTCCAATGCTACTTCCAAGGGCACTAAAGGGTGCTGACCTTGTGTTGTACTCTGTTTTCAAATCCCTTGGTATACAAATTAATGTTGTTCCAGTGATTATGGAAGATGACTATAAAGAGGAGGACTACGATGATTATGAAGAGGATAACTCCGAGCAATCCGAGAAAGGTGAACAACAGCAATCTGACAAAGGTGAGCAACGCCACCCGAAGTGGAATATCAGTCCGCTAACAAATTCCAGTGCGCGTTGGACACAAGCTACATCCATACGTTGCCTCTGACCACATGACTGAAGAAGGAGAGGTAAGTACAGAATATCAAAGTGATCAGTTAGAGGATCGAGTAGCTTATGTGGGATAGTCGTCGCTCCGAGCACTCGATTGGGCTTGGCCGGGCAAACACAGGCCAGAGGTCACATGGATCGGTTCTCCGACCCACCAAAAGATGGCCCTTAGCCATATCGCTTACGGAAACGAGCCTTCGCAAAGCACAATCTACTCGTATGCAGCGATGATAGCCGAGATCCCACCATTCCTAGAGCGACAAGGTCTTACTGATGCGTGAGCTTTATTGGGGGGTTACTGATCTGGAACGATTCGTGTTTGCTTTCTTCGAAATGAGATATCCAGCAGCTTTGCTTCGAGTTTGCTTGGTTGGATTTGCTCTTCGCTTAATATTATCTCGTCGTTTTCGTTGCAAGATGAGGCAAGATAACTATGCTTTTAGATCATAGCTTTCAGAATTGGAACAAAATCCTCATATTTTTCAACCACATAACTATCCGTCGCATCAGTATCGGAGTTATGTCGCAAAAATCAAAGGTTATACTTTGTAGAAAGGTCTCTGCACCTAAAATAGGGGCCTTCCAAGGAAGGTTCCAAGGTTATGTAAGATCTCCTGAGGTCCACGGGTCATTTTTTGTATTACGTAATCTTGTTTTGGAGGTTCTAAACAGGCAGAAATTTAAGCCAGAAGGCGGGATAAAAGGACTAAGCCAATATAAAAAGAATAGTCACGTGGGCGGTGGGCTTAAACAAAATTAAACGGGGTTAGCAATATACTACCTCGGTACAGGGAGACTAGCCTAATTAGGTATGGAGTAGTCTTGGCGGTGTCCATTTAACGAGGTGTCACTGTAACTGTACTCCGTATTATTGTCCAATTCCCGTAATAGGGCACGCGACGAACTGGATCTGTACAAAGAGGGAAAAGGTCCTCGTGTTACATACAACATACTTCGTCGTGCGTCGCCCCTTAGGGCGACGCGATCGACATCACTTGTTCCAGAGTGGGTCTCAAAGCTTCTTCCCATTATGTTAATGAATTTAGAATTCCAAAGGGACCTATTTTTTTTAAGAGGCCAGATATTAAATCCATATTAGTACGGAGTATGTACTCTATACTCCGTACTCCGTACCATATCGTACCCAAGTGTTAATGGCCTTATCTGGGGGAACCGAGGCTGCAACACTAAACCCAGACGGCACAGAACTAGGGGGCCATAGACATATCGACCGACCTATGGGGAATTGACAACAAATCTGTTATCAGACAAAGATGTCATCTTGGTGGGGATCTTGCGTGCGTCACGCTCTAGGGCTGAATAGGGGGAACGACAATAGGGGCTATGGCGGAAGAAATTTACGAAATACGAATACGGACCTTCTTTTTAAAATACGAGTACGGGGGTTTTGAATGGAACTTTCCTGAAACGGACAGACTCGGTATATATGTACATAGTTATGTAGTACCGTTGAACATTATTGTATGTACATGTATCTGATGTCGGGTAACTAACTATTCACATATTGTAGCACAAAGAAAAAGTAATTAACTAGACGCCTTTACCCGCCGGCAAAAACTCTATTCTAACAAAAAGGGGAGATACATAGACTTTGGGTTGGCGCATTTGGGAGGTCGCATGAGAAATCAAAACCGAGGTGATGGGCACAAGCTGGCGAAGCCGTGCCATGCGGTTGAACGTTCATTATCAAGATTTAGGTGTGGTGCCCATCAGGGCGTGCTGTACAACTGAACTTGGTTCTTCAGGAAAACATTATGTCTTTGGTTTGGGCCAGCCATCAATGTCCCCAAACCATCGTGACCGATAAATTTCATTCCCTTTCATGATCTGGTGGCGTACCCCATCGACCACGAGACTGGTATAGTTCCCTCGGTAAAGTCGCCATAGAGACTGGGTGTATATAAAGCTCCCATCGGGGGCGAGACTGAAACCCTTGAGGTCCGACTGCGGCAACTCCATGTATTCTCCCTGGCGGGTGACCCCGTGACGATCGTTGGTGGTAACCTCGAAGCCGGGCATATATTTCTCCACGACTTCATCGTATTCCGCGGTGAATTTCATTTGATCGATATCGAAGGCGTGGAGACCAATATCGTTGGAGACGAGCAAGACTCTTTCATTGGGGACGGGGACGAGATCATGGGGGCCGGCCCACCAGCTGTATCCGTGGCCCCATTCGACATCGATATCGTAGTACTCGGGAAATCGGAATCGATAGGCTTCATCCACGCTGAGTAGACCGGTCTCGGCATCGAAGGGGTATCCTTGAATGACGCCGTAGGCCGGAACGGGATCGGAGCCATCGGCGGCGGCATCGGTTCCGGTCGCCCACAACATCTGGCCCTGCTCATCCCAGATCAAGGCATGGATGGCCCGGAGACCTTCGATCCGTTGCAATACGGGAGGTTCATCGACGAGGGGGAGAGCCTCACTCATGTTGTAGACCAAAATACCATCCCAGGGTCGCTGTCCGGTGGTTCCAACCGCGAGACGATCACCGGGCAAAGGTTCGATAGTATGGGCATTGTGTAGAACATCATTCGCTCTATTGAGGGCGAAGGTGATTTTCTTATCCGTGGAGGGTTGGTCGGGGGTATGGTTGATGACGACGACGAGAGCACTGTAGACAGCAGCGACGCTTTTACCGCCTCGCATCCACTTCATATCAGTTGCATCGTTGTACCCGCTATATAAACCACTCCGAATCAGAGAAGGTAGGGGTTGAGTGACATCTTCTCGTTGCCAACTCCATTTGACGACACTATTCCGATCATGAATTTTCAATACTGGAGGGACCGCATAATGACCGGTAATGATCTCTTGCCAGGGACCCTGTACAGGAACGGCTATACCATTTTCTGCCTTGAGTCTGGGTTGAGGTTCAATCAGAGGAACTTGAAAGGCCAGTGGCTCAAATAAGAGCGAAATCCAACCGAATAAGCTCCCTAACATGATGGGGATATACGACCACGACCACGGGACGGAGGGGGGAAGAAGAGGAGAAACCTGATTTATTTCTTTATTTTTTTTTTAATTTTCTTTTTAATTTTTTTTTATTTCCGGAGAGCGGGGCCTCGTATTTTTCTTGGCTGGGCGGTTTTTTTGGGGAGGGGGGAGGGGGAGGCCTTACAACAGACTACAAAGTACGAGAGGAAGGTGGGGTTGAGTTTGGGGCTAAGTTTGGGGCTAAGTTTGGGGGCTATTTGATCCTTATTAAGCATATTAACGGGTTAATGTATTAAATGTATTACTTAGTCAATAACAGGTTAGTATTTATGGAGTTGCTAAAGATTCAATCCAATCATATTCTCAACTATATATATACTACAATCATAAAACACAAAACATAAAACATAAAAAACCACAAAACACAAAACACAAAACACAAAACACAAAAACATAAAACATAAAACATACCATAAAATAATAGTAAGACACGGTAAATGATTACCTAGGTAGTACTCTCCAGTACCCTTGTCATCGTCTCCACCTTAAATCCCACCAGGTGGACAGCCTTGGCATACTGAAGGAGAAGAGAGACCCTTGGGACCTTCTCTCCTTCTTTCTTCTTCTTCTTCTTTTCTTTAAATGTCCGGGGGTGTGAAGTATATATATTTATATATATAACATTTTCATTCATTTCATATATATATATATTATATATATATACATATATAAATATATATATCATGAAAGTCGTTCACGCTGTTCATGCTTATTTAAGCCACGGCATCCGGCGAGTTCGTCTCTCACCTGGTGAGACTCTGGATGCCGTCTGGGACTTTTCGCGGCGTTATTTTTTCGCTCTGGCCTTCCTTTCGTTATTCACGGCCAAACTCCTTCATCTTTATGCTCATATCTATTCTCTACCTCTTCCCCGACTATTTCTATGGGGTCTTACCTTCTTTTTTCAAGATGTGATGATTCTGTTGCTGTTTCGAATTCTCGCTCAAAAGGTCGCGTGGCGACCGGGTGCCGCCCTGCTTGCAATTTTGGTTATCCCCTCTAGGTATGTGTCCACGTGCCCCCTTTTTTTTTTTTTTTTTTTCTCTCTTCCCTCAACTTCAACTGGAAGGCTTTTTTTATTACTTGGATTTCGAATCAATTGATCTAATCATCTAATCATCTAATCATTATGCTACAGTTTAATCGTCTCGTTCATGGCTGCTGCCAATACCTCCTTTTATGTCTTCACCGGTGCCGAGATCCACTGGCGCCAAGCCAAATCCTTCAATGGTGATGCCGCTGCCATTCATACCCTGCTCACCGGTTTGACCGGGTTTTTGATTGTCGAGGGCATTCTTCTTACAATTTCATTGTTCACTGCCCATTCCATTCATGCAATCACTGGAGGAATCCTGCATGTCTGGGCTTGGCCCATTCGATGGCTGTTTTCTCGTGTGCGACCGCACGTGGAACCCCTCGTCCAACGCTTCTGGCCATCCAAATCCCCAGCACCCGACCTTCCCGACCCTCGAATCTACGAACAAATCTCCATGGATGATAATGATGATCTCAGTGATAATGAGGAGGGAGATCATCTCTTGAATACCGCTCAACTACCCAACCGCCTCCCGGAGTCCAAGCGAGTCACCGATGGCGTCCCCCAACGAGCCCTCATCCTGGGATTATTCAGTCTCTTCCTCTTCCTCCGCTTTATGCGACCATGGGACCCCGTCTATATGTACATGTCCACCACCTTGCCCTTGACTACCGTCATTGAGGGCGCCGAGCGTCACTCCCCCGTCGTTACCACGGGCACACCGGCTCATTTTGATTATTTGGAGCAGGCCACTTCATTGGGCCCGGCGCCCCGTTGGAGCTGGATGTCCGAGGAACCGATCGCCGGTTTCGAGGACTGGGATCAATCCGACCCTCTAGCGCTTCACTACAACCCGCACGATGACCCATTGCACATCTCCAACCTCGACAAGCCCGTGCTGGAGGAAATTCATAACGCATTGGCTAGCGGCGATGTTAAGATCAAGCATGTCGTTTTCTTGAAACTCGAGAGCGCACGTGCGGATATCTTCCCCTTGCAAAAGGACAGTTTCATGTACAAGCGCATCGCGGAAACGTGGAAGGACAAGACGATCCCCCCAGAGGTCGTAGACCGTCTGGCCAACCTCACCCGGACTGCCGAGTTTTTGACCAACTTCCCCAATGGATTTGAGCACGACGATGCTCGTTTCAACGGCCGCAAAGCGTATGGTGGCATTAGTGCCAAGGATGCCATCACCTCCTCCACATATACTCTCAA